AGCAACAGCAGCAATGCAACATGCCGCCTCAACCACTGATAAATCAACACATGATATCGTAGCAAGCGGTGTGGCTCAGTTATCAACCCAAGCTATTAGTTCACTACCAGATTTACGTAATTTAAAAACAAATTAATTCTATATTTTAATAATGATGAAAAATGTTTAATATACATTATGATCAAAGCTCCTTAGAATATTGGACATAAGACAATTTTTGTTTGATGTTTCTACACTGTATACTAAGAGATTTACAACTTTCAAATACATAAATAAATGATGGAATCTAAATAGGTTGGAGTGAAGGATGCGATGCTATCGAAAGTGTATTCAACTTACTGAGGTTTTGATTTATAGATCGATTAGAGAAGAATATAAAAAAATCCTAAAACTATTCCTTTGTTTGTGAATCATCAAGTACCTAGCACAATAAGAAAAGATGTTCTACTATTAAACAGAGATCTAGATTATGCAGCATTGAGCGCTCTATAAAATGTAGCGTTCAAATCTTCTAAAAAATCTAAAATGGAAGTCGACATTTAAGTGAAGTTTTCCCGAAAGTAATTTTCTAGAATAATATTGTAAATGTGAGATACTTGAATTACCTTTTGATTTTTTCTCGTTAACAGCTATTTTATATTTCAAGTTTGGCTGAAACATGATTCGTCTTTTGTAAAAGTAGTCTACTCAAGAAATACATACGCCTTATATAGTAACAGGCACTGTTTTTCTGTCTCGTTTAAAATGAGAAAAAACCGTCCGTATCGTCAATCATACAGATGGCGAGAATATATATGTCAGCGTCCAAACTCGGATTCAGGCCAATCCAGGACTGGCCTAGGCGAAATTAGGATCTTAGTTTGACCTAGTCCAAACTCCGATCTCACTTTCGCCTAACTAGGATCTCGGTTTGAACTAGTTTAAAGTCAGATTCTTGGAAGTCAATTACTTCCAAACTTGTTCACGAGTTATTTGAATACTCTAGGTAATCGTGTAAGAGTTGCATGTTGTTTTGGAATTCTCGAACATTGGTATCCAATTGAACAATTAATTAGTTTATCTGCTGTTCCACAAGAGCTGGTTGATTTAAAAACTGATGGTATGAAAAACATTTCAATGATAACAGCTTCAAAATTGTATGTTCGAGGTGCTACAAATGGTGTTACATGTTCATGCAAAGGAGGATGTAAAAATAAACAACGTGCATGTAAGAAAACTGGTGTTTTTTGCTCAACAAAATGTCATAAAAGTAATGCATCTTGTCAAAATCAAGAAAACTAAAAACATTTCAAGACATTTCTCAGTTTTGCACTGGTATTATTTTTGGTTTAACCCTTTACACCCGGCGGTCCCTTCCAAGGGACATTGATGTAATAGATTTATACAAAGAACGGATCATCAGGCCATAAGCTAGATTATTACCAATGTAGGACAATAGAGTAGCCTAACTTTTGATTGAAATAAGAAAAAAACATTTCCATTTTAATCCGATATTTTGGAATTTTAAAACTGAATGAAGTTCAAAAATGAATTTTTTGATTTTAGATATTTTCTATACTTGTAGCCACTAAATCATTTTCTAATTTTGTAGTTGGTAGTTTTGGTTGTATGGATGTACTTTATAATGAAATCAAAGCAGACATTTTTGTAGCATTCTTCTTTGCGTAAAAGCGCTGTGGATCCACGGTCCCTTGGAAGGGACATTCGGGTGTAACGACATGAAAAGTGAATTTTTTTATCTTAACATCTTGTTAGCGTGGATCATTCTGTGATCACTCGCTACATATCTGAAGATGGACGAATGAAGAAAAAAAGATGTAACCAACAGTACAGTACCGTCGCCGACAAATATGAGGGCGATTTTCTCTGGTCGATATAAAAATGCCATCTAAGTGCGTTTTAAATACTGAATAAAATTGAGAAGTGTCTAAACTATCTTCAGTTTTTTAAAAAACAAGTTACGTCCGAACACACTTTTCTTCTTTGAGATAAAAAGAAGCTCGTTTAGAAGCGCCCTTGGAGCCATCTTGATTCAAAAAACGCGTTCAGGCACGACGTTTTTGGAAAAATTAAAGAAAAATGCGTTTGTTTCTATCAAAAATTTTTCCAATGAGTAAAGAATTGAAAAGAAACTCATAGTAACACACTAGGGTAAAAAAGGAAGTTCGGAATAATAATGAAAAAAATACAAAATCCATGTCGTTACACCCGAATGTCCCTTCCAAGGGACATCATGTATCCACGTGGCAAAGCAACACCACTTAAGTCCAGATATAACATGGATGTACCAAAGAACTGTAAGTTTCAATGCAATAGTTATTTCAGCGGCAGCTATAATAAAAGTGTCTTCGGGTGTAAACGGTTAAGATTAGGTTTTTCTTGTGAAAAGATTTAAAATTGAGAAGAAACACATTACTATACTTTAATCTAAGTTTAATATTATCTAAAACTTGATAATATGCTTCCGAAATCACCAACTTTTTACCATGTTTAGCCGAACATAACATTTCAATCTGAGATTAATCTAAGTTTGGCCCGAAGTAAAATGAATCTGACTTTTGCCTAGTTCAATCTTAGATTCGCCTTGAAAATTCAGTCCAATCTCGGATTCGCCTGATATTTTCTTTTTAATCTGACTTTAGACTAGTTCAAACCGAGTCCTAGTTAGGCGAAAGCGAGATCGGAGTTTCGACTAGGTCAAACTAAGATCCTAATTTCGTCTAGGCCAATCCTGGATTGGCCTGAATCCGAGTTTGGACGCTGACATATATATATATATATACGTTAAAGGAAACATGTTTCTTCGTTTGAAGAAAAATGTTAGAAAAGGATAGGTTACACACAAAGGATAGATTGTTCCACGTGCTTATCCACGTGATATAAATGTATATATACACTCTCGCCACATATATCATTGACGGTACCACGTTTTTTTCTCATTTTAAACTAGATGAAAAACAGTGTCCGTTATATACGGCACTTTATTAAACTAGTAAAAATGAGACCTATTTAGATAAAGGAATGGAGAGCTGAATTTGCTGTGTACAAACAAATTCTGAATTTACTACCTGACTCTCTAATTCATACTGATTTTTCCTTTTCAGATAGAGCTCATAACATGACAAAAGCATTGTTTGCTCGACGAACGCATTAAAATTTGATTGCGCTATGTTCTCGAAGAAAAGTCCGAGTAAAACATAGTGGAATCAATCGTAGATAACAAAACCGTGACTGGAAAAATGTGGAACTAGTGTGTAGTGGTGCAACATACCATGCGTACTGGTAGTGCCGCCGTTTTTCAGTCCTGTACTCATTTTGAAAATATATTTGCACATCAAATCTGCTACGATAACGTAAACGACGAAAATACGTCAGGGTTACTACAGTTTACGACGGTCATATACTTTGTTACGTTCTGATTTTTTTTGAAAAATTTGACTTGTCGTAAACGATCGTATACGATTGATGTAACTGCATCGTAATTTATCGTTTACATATCGTCGTATCTGTCAACGTTTACGACTGACGTATTTCGTCGTAATTTGGCGTATATTGTAGTATACGGTCGTGAGTCCTCGACCTGGGGAGTTTTTCCTGTTTTTCATCAAAAAATCTTTTTTGCAAGAATGGATGTCTTTTTGTTCTGTGACCACAGATATTGAGAATAGAAAACAGAACAAGAAACGATATATGTATATATGAGCGACATCAACATCCACTAACAGAATGTTAACGTGGAAACATACATGATACTTAAAAACGTTCGATATCTCTGTATGTATTGCGAGGTTATTTATCCGTAGCGTCACTTATAGATCATCAATGTTTTGAAATTTGTCTAAGTATACTATCCTTTTGATTTTCCAATATGTTTTTCAGAAATCTCTATCTCAAGATTCCAAGGTGTAGCATAACTTTTCTTCATGGAAATATATAGAACTCGACGCGCTCTTCCATTTGATACCAAGTTCAAGGTTCTGTGTTAGATAATGTGCTCCGCAGACATTCTGCAAGTTCGGCGAAAGCTGCTGAAAAATCACGAAGATGCATTTTTCCGCTGCGAGGATAAAATGGCTATAACTTTTTTTCTAATAAAGCCAGAGACTTGCGGTTTTCACCATTCGGTTCAGCTTGCTGAGCTCTATATCATGAGATAGTTTTCGTCACTGACGTTAAAGGTCAATGCACATGGTGGTAGGTTTTATATGCATTGGGTCTATCCGTCGATGCCGAAATTTTACTGAAAATTCAATATCTCGCGTTCCTATTGGAAGTCCAAAGTTTTTCTTTTGCCGTTTTGTCACCCCACCCTTCTAGTATCTACCCTAAAAGACTGAACCTTACTGAGCCGGTTACGCACGAGATAATGAATGGTGAAGTAGTAGCGGTAGCCCCATCTATAACTTGATAATAAAACGACCTCTAGAGTCCGGACTTGTAGGATTTTGTAGCCTGATTCAAGTTGTATTTGTGCTGAAAGTTTCGTGTCTCTGAGTAAACCGTTAGAAAATAACACGCTCAAGATTAAACGCTAATTGATCCTAATTCACCACCCAAAAAATGGCAATTTTTCTTAAAATCTGAATATCTCAGTAACTACTTGGGTTGTAGAGCTGTGGTTTGCGGCAAAAAACTGACTATTAATTGTACTTCTGACCTACGTAATTGAAATCAAGTTTGGAGAAAGTCGATTGAACAGCTTCTGCAGTACTTCGTCGTGGCTTATCTGCAATGGCTCATAAGATCCTTATCGATTATTAATAAAAGAATGTTTAGCAATACTAAGTCACAAATCTAAATTGAACAAATACGGTACGCTGTTTCTCTTTTTATTTTTCTCGAAGGCACTTCGAAAACATTAACTAAAAGATCCTAGAGGTTAGACCATTTATTTGGAAAAAGATTTGTTTTGCTAGATTCATTCGTTCTTCTTTCTTTTTCTCTTTCATATTAAAGATGGTATAGTTCATACATATGCAAATATTTTTCTATTTAAACGAGGTAAGCCACGTAGGATAATTCTGATAATCGCTTAATACTTGTCAGTTATTTTTCATGATGTAAAAATTTTGCTGAAATTGATTAATATTAGTTAGCTCTAATCAATTTCCAGTGTTTAGAATCATCATCATGATTCCCCCATTTAGTGTAATTATGATAAGTTAACGTCTATCTGTTATGATAACTGTAGTCAAAACAGCTGGAACTAACTTGGAACACTGAGTTTCAAGAGAAAACTTGAAGTAAACTAACTAAAGTAATGTCTTTTACTTTTCATAATTTCTAATTAACTAATCTGAATTAAGTCCAAATGGCTGTCAATCCATATGGTTGATGAAGCAGAAAATCTTCTATAAGATGATATAGTTTCCATCTTGAAAAGAAGGAAATAATATCTTTAAGATACTTTTCTTAGCCCTAGTTATTTTTCTCCTGATTCCAATTCGATGAACATTCATATTCCGCCAAAAAGAACACTACTCTTTCGATAAAAAGTTCCATCTATAAGCCCCAATGTGAACTAAAATGCTACAGATTCATTTTAAGGTCGAGGAAACAACTGCGTATATATA